TCTCATAAGCGGGCTACCACGTGTGCATTTTCTGATCACCCCGTTTCCGTGCAGGCACACTGGTGTCAATTTGTCTCTTCCATCAGTGTTTCTTATAAATGGGTTCGACTGTAATTGACGCAGCTTTGCTTTGTGATAGAATCGTTACAAAGAAAAGGGCAAACTGATCATAAGAAGAGAAAAAAGAAGAGTAAAACAGAAGAACACACTGGAAACATGGTGACAAGAAAGTAGGATGAGGTTTGTTTTTCAGGGCACTCGCACAGCTGCCTCAAACAGCTCAGTCCGATAATACCACATAGCGATCACATTTCACTCACAGAATCACAACTGATGTCCTGCAGTTAAACGTTTGTGGCAATGCTCCCTTTTTTTCCAAGCAAAATAATACTTGGCATGTCACAATGCACAACAACGGAAGGCTTTTAAAGAAAGCGCTATCGAATACACTCATGTGGACAGTCTCTCAATTACTGTGTACCAAATACAGTCGAGCCCGCTTATAATGAACCTGAGCGTGACGCGGCATCCGTTCGCTGTATCCTGAAGTTCGTAGTAAAGGACACACAGCTTTTAAAAAAAAAGTTGCGATGTGTTTTTGCCACAAAAAGTCCGTGATGCACGTGTTTAGAAGAACAGAAGTGATAAGGGCGGTCTCGAGTTCATTTAAAACGACAGGGTGCTCGTTTGCCGAGGCCCGTGGCATAAGCTGCATGAGGCACTGACTCCAAAGTTTCACCGTTCTCGCAATCCAATTCCTCCAAATCGCTCTCGCCACGCACTTCATTCACAATGCCCCAATCCGTGCACAGTTCCGCAGTGTCGGCATTACCATCGCTCGTAATTAAACCATCGCAACAGATGTCCCATCCACTCTCCCAGGTCGGAGTCGACAACGCGCTGCCACAAATCGCCGCCGCAGTGGTCCTGTTCGAAGCTTCAAGCTCGGCATTGGGCCCGACGTCGACGAAGTCGGCCTCGCGAAAACAGTTTCGCGCACGTGTAGCAGTTAGCGCCGCCCACGAAATATTCACCATCTTTACAGCTGAATACAGGGATGCCCGAAGCAGCAAGTTGGCTGCCAAATGGTCAACAGCTATGAGCAAGCGCTCCGCAACGCGGCACCTGACGCGCGGATTATGCTCAAGCCGAGCGGTCACACTTTGGACGTTTTGTTGAGCAGCAGGAAAAAAAAAAGGTGCTAGTCCTCCCGTCGGCCATCATGACCACACACGCACACCAAGAGCGAGCAAGATGCGCACACGCGACACACATGCCAGAAAGCGTGGAACAGCTTTGGGGCCGTTTTCATTCAGAAAACGAAACTGATTCGAGCCAGCGTGGCGGGCGTCGTGGAGCGGTAGAGACGGGCGAAGGGGCTGTGATCAAGAGAGGAGAGCAGACTTGCGAGAGAAGGGCGAAGAGTTGCGATAAAGAGAGGGGAGGATGCGGCGGGAGGACGACCTTGAAAACCAAAACACATGGGAAGAAGGCAGGTTGTGTAGCTTGCTTGAAAGGTCCGCGAAACTTTCATGTAGAAAAAATTGGAAAGAGTGCATGGCCCCCTGAATCGGTGCGCGGGGCGATGTTCGAAGAATCGGCGGCCGTGGTCAAAAAATCGTTTCGTTGCGCTGGTGGTATTGCGTGGCGTCACGAACTTCGATATTTGGCGATTCGTTCTGCGCAAATTAACAGCCGTTTTCGCGCTTCCGCACGCGTGTGAAAGGCATGCTGAGTTGAGTGCGAAGTGAGCGAGAACAAGTCCTGAACACGAAAAGAATCGCAAATTATCAGAGTCGGTAGGGTAGTGTACGCGCGTGCACTAGACGCAGACTATCAAATACAGTCGGTGGCCGACGATGTTGGCAAACGGTCTGGTCACTCCATGCTGGTGACGCCAACGACAGTACCAGCGACCAAAAACGGGGTAGATGGCCGACCGGTCTTCGAAAGATCGGTGGCAGTGTGAAAACACGGCCTCGTCTGGCGATGCGGAATGCTCAGAGTAGCGGGGGACAAAGGACGGAGGGGTGCGTAACAAAAGCGATCATAGAGAGCAGCAACTAGAGGGGCGCGGAGGCAGGGTCGGCGTTTAACAATAAGAATGTATGGGCACCTCGCCGATGCCTGCATAAACGGTGGCCGAAATTGGTTTGCCGGGAAATCGGCAGACCGCTGACTCTGTTCGCTGTAACTGATTAGCAGCACTCGGAGGCGTTCGTTGTAAGTGTGCTTTTGTGCCATTGAACCAATGTATATTTTCACGGTCACACGGATATTGTTCGTTTTAAGCGAAATTTCGTTTTAAGTGGGGCCGTTCTATGTGGGCTCGACTGTATTGCAAGACACAATGTCTCCCACTGAGATGCAGTTGCAGTAACTGTACATTAAACCCACAACCAATGTGTTCAACAGCAAAAAAACGTTCCTACTTGATGCAGCAATTGCAACGTAACAGTGCCTAGAAGCAAAGCAAGGCCATCTGGCAGTATCAAACACACACACACGCACACACATACACACTTGCCTGGCACACTTCCTCATTGGGGTCTTAGCTTATATATACAGTGGACTCTCAGTAAACAGAAACTGAAGAGACTGGGAAGGTATGTTCCATACAACAGGTGTTCTATATACCGAGAGATGACCAGGGGTGCAGAACACATGTATGAAACCGATTTGGCCAGAGGCAGTTGTTCCAATTAAGCAGCAGTTCCATTTAACAGATTTCCATTTACTAAGAGTCTAATGTACATGCACTCAGCAGCTGGTCATCTCGCATGGAAAGAATGTGCAAGACGATAATGTGCACAGAATATAAGGAAACTGTGCATTTGACATACAAACACCATAATGACTTCTGACACACGCACATAAAAATAACAAAACATGAGAAATCATCGATAAACGAGCACTCAAAAGAATGCCCGTGATGAAGGACTTTTTCACCAGGCGAATTGGCCCTGTACAGACTCAAAAATGGACGGTTCAATAAAAATATGGTCAATAGAATACATGGTCAATAGAGACCACTCAATGAATGTGTGTAGCAAAAAGCATCACTGGTGCTGAATATAGGGATCCCTTCATTTGATTCAGAGGCACTTGCTATGAATAAAAGGTACAGTAGGGCAGTTGATATGCAGCAATGGGATAAATCTGTCACAAACAGCTTTCTGTCTAAAAGAAACATCATGACAGCAACACATGAGATGACATATGGATGCAGTACGTAAATGTAGAATAATTACAACATCCTCGAGCAATAAGAGCTTAAAATTTGTCTAAGATGAGAAAAACAAAACACACTATACACAGCCTGCTTTGAAACCTGCGCAATGCAATCAAGGCAACAGTCGTGCTATCATGCGATCGCAAAGCACAGACCACTGTTTGTTCGGTTCTAAGGAAGCTACAAGTATGGACATTGTTAGAGGTAACACAGAGCAGGTGGCCGTTCCCTGTGCAGTCCCACCACAGGTGCTGCACAAAGTATTGTGGTGCAAGCACTGTCAGTACCAAAGGAAGAGTTACCTGAGCCTCGTCTGCTACAGTTCGCACCACTTTACCATGGGCGGCGGAACCTATATGCAGCGAAGTGGGAGGCACCATAGCAGACGACGTGCATCTAACTCCGCATCCAGCAGTGACTGTGCTGGCACCGCAATCTTTTGCGCAGCGCCTGGTTTGAGAAGCACGGCTACGCAAGCCATGTTACATCTAACAGTGGCCCCACCTGTACATGTGTGTGCACTGCATGTTCAGATACTAGAACCAACACTTTATTCCTCTGCACTGAAGAGGCATATGAAAAACGTGCCATCTAGAACTGTTCCAACACCTGCTTGTAATGTGGCTGATGCTGACAAAAATCAGCACTGCACTCCACACAGTCATTGCAGGTTTGTCACATCACTGAGCCTTTTTTCTTTGTAGTCCTTCTAATGTGCAATGGTTCCTCGGTGCAGACAATCTACTTTTGACAGCTCTTCAGCACAGAGAACATTGCATAACAAGACTCAAACTGAAATGCTCACCCTTTTCTGCAAAGCGCATGACACACCTGTACTTAATTCTTTCTGCTGCTCAAGTGCTGACGTGCTCCCGTCTGCCGGCCATATTCTTTATTCAATTGCTCTGCCGTGGCAGCTCCCACAGTTCAAAGTAAAGCCCCGCTGGATCGAAGCATGGCTTTAGTAAAAGCTGGTACTGCTAGCACCAAAGCTTACTTCACAGACTGAACACAGAAAAAGGCTGCCTTTTGCGAGAATAAGCCTGCTGTGCCTCTACAGTGAAACCTCGTTATTATGTACCCGTTTTAGGCCTAGTAGTTGCAGCAAATCCCTAAGCAGACGTAATGTATTTGCTTCTTGTCCGCCGCGGTGGTGCAGAGGTTACTGTGCTCGGCCGCTGACCCAAAGGTCGTGGGTTCGATCCCAGGCGTGGCATTTCGATGGAGGGGATATGGTACAGTCCTGTGTACTATGCGATGTCAGTGCACGTTAAAGAACACCAGATGATCAATATTTCCAGAGCCCTCCACTACGGCATCTCTCGTAATCATATGGTGGTTTTGGGATGTAAAAGTTGAGATGTTAAATTATTCTTGAGAGGGCGACAATCGTATTTGTTGCCCTCTTAAGCCATATTGGCTTGTATTATGCATATCAGTCAGTGTATACCACAATATTACTTTGTGGCATAAAAGCCAACTGCACCCTTCATCTCACTGACGCTGCAGTATGCCACAAATGATGTTCTGCCTTTTCGGGGAGAGAGAGCGAAATAACATTTATTTACGCATCCGGCGTGCGGGAAGTCACCGGCCACGCAGGGCGTGGGTATTCCCTATCTGAAGACTATGGCTAATAGAGTCCTATAGTCCCAGGGCCTAGATCTTGAGGGCGTTGTGCTCCGGCTAGGCGTCGGATACTTGGGCTCCTTTTCGGGGAGAGCCGAGGTCAGTCGATCAATGATTCCGACTTCCACAAGCTGTGCTTCAACGGATAAGCACCAGAAAAGAATGAGGATGGCTGACAACCAATAATCGACTTCAACTAACTGCCCATCTATCCACTAGGCATAGGGCTAACCTATTTGTAGCAAAAGTTATTACTTGGCAAAAACCTGAGCCCGCTGTGCAACCACTGCTGCCACCTCATGTAGGGCCACCTTCAAATGCACGACACAGGCACCGGGATACTTCGCTGCACTATCACTGGCAATATATCATCACACACTTGTGTACAGTAAACTAAGCGTAGTGCTGTTGCAAGTGTCCTGCACAATCTCATTGAGCAGCAGCAAGAGCACACTGTGCCTCTGAACATTGCAGCCTTCACATGCAGGATTACTAGAGAACCACGAACTACCACTAGCAGAAAGCTCGTAGTCAGTGCGTTGATGCAATGAAATACTTATTTTGCCCATGCATAGTCCGAGGAAAAGCTGTACACAGACCTACCCCCCCCCCCCCTGTAAACATCCGCATACGGTATAGCTACGTGCAGGTGATGTAGTGCAGACAACTAGCCAGCTACAATGGGCTCCAAACGGCAGTTCTGCGTTGCAGTGAAACAGTGTCAGATTGTGCACAGTAGCAGATACAGATGCGCTTAGTGTGCAACATACATAGCTGAGTCCATCTGCGCTGCCACTGGGCGCATGACTGAGTGTTTCAGACCAACTGATAGTTTCAAATTGTTCCTTGCACCGCCACCGCACACAGTTAGACAGCCGTGCATGACAATTGACATACAAGAGCCCGTATCTGCACTTCAACAAAAAAATAACACCTGGTAGTGAGAAATTTTGGCATACCTGCCAAGTTCAAAGATTCTGAACCCAGGAAATTTCCCTAATGAGGGGGACGAAAGTATTTACCTGCCCCCCTTATTTTGTATAAAAAGAAAAAGAACAAAAAAAACATTGAAAAAAACAGGGGAGGGGAGTTGCCAAAATGCCATAAGCGCAAACATTGACGTTGCTGTCTTATAATGGCTTGAAGTGGCCGAACACACGATGGTAGGCTTTCCTAACTACAGTAGAAGGTCCAAGTCTCAAAGAGGGCGTGCAAATACAGTCGAATCTCAATAATTCGAACTCGAAGGGGCCCGAAAATTTGTTCAAATTAAAAGAAGTTCGAATTAATGAAAGCTAAATAAACGGAGGGCTCTCCATGCAGTGGCGAATGTACACTGAGCTAACACACGAGGGGGAAGTTTTAGAATACTTACATTTATTCACAAATCACAGGACATCCGTCATTAATTGAAGTAATCGGTGATGCGCGCCTGCACACGTTTGCCTTGACGCGAGTCAATCCATTTCACACGCATCTTGCAAAGCATTTCTACTTCGGCTTCAGCATTCTCCTGGAGAGTGGTTGCGCGCGGAAAGGTCCAGCGCTGACACTCTTCAAAGACGACGACAACGACTGCGTAGCGAAGCCGCAGCGTGGCCAGCACGTGACGAGAAAGGAGGAGCGTCTCCACGCGTAGGGGTGTGGCAGCTTCGACTAGTTGGTATGACATGACGATAGTTATAGCGCGAGAACAGAACGACCACATAGAGACAAGAAGGTCCTTTGTGTCCCTCTTGTCTCTGTGTCGTCGCTCTATTCTCGCGCTATAACTATCGCTACGCAGAGAGAAGCTGATCGGCCTATAAGAGAAAACCAAGACTCTACGGCAGCTTTTATTTTTCTTTTTTTTTGCTCTCTTTGCGCACGTCGTAAGGAGAAGGGTTACGTGGCAGGGACGGGAAAGGGGAAGCATGGCACCGGCGCATGAGAGACCCCCCCCCCCTCCGCCCTCAAGACGCAGAGCCGTGCTCCAGCAAAAGGCAAGGGCTGCAGAAGATAGTGCCTTTTGCCTTTCTTTCAACCACACATTCATTCAACCCGGCAACAGCCTTTTTTCTCTCTCTCTCTCTTCAAGCGCGGCTTTGGAAAGAGAAGGGTCTTTACGTGGCAGGGACAGAAAAGGGAAAGCGTGACACAAGCGCACCACAGATCAGCATTTGAGAGAGAGCAAGCATTCTACCGCAGCCTTTTCTTTCCTTTTCCTTTCCTTCGCGCGCAGTGAAAAGATTGTCGCAGGTGCCGCCGGGGGATTGGGCGGGGTGCTGAGAGCATTTTCAGAGTGCGGTATGTTCGAATGAACCATCGCTAGTGCTTGCGCGTTCGAATTACCGGGCGTTTTCACCCATCAGAATACACATAGCTTTGACGGGACCTCATCGCCAGTTCGCATTAACCAGAAGTTCAAATTAAGCGTGTTCAAATTAATGAGATTCGACAGTACTCATATCTGCCAACATTTCTCGTCATCAAAAAAGAAACTAGCAAAATCTATTTCTGTCAAAAGAATTCGGGTACATCTTCCTGGGATACACGTGAGCAGACGTGATGGTGCGGCTGCCGTCGCTAAAGCGCGAGTCAGAACTTCGCCCGAGGCGAACTGAAAACCGAGTGCCAAAGTGCACAGATTGTCAGGAATTATCGTTACTATATTCTTTGGACAGGAACACCAAAACGCTTCTAGCCATGTTTACGTCTTTATTGCCTTTAATCTACTGCTGCGTTAGCTTGGAGCTCGTAGTCACTTGTGACGATTGCGTCGCCACGACCACAGTTTTGTCAAGTTTTATATGCAGTTACATTGGCCACAGGGTTTCAAATGATGTGACGTTTCTGTATGCAGTCTTTAAAGAAATTAGCGTCGCCTTGACTGATCGCATGCAGAGTTCTGTCAGTTACGTCATTGCCATACATGATCATGCCAAGAGTGACTGCAGTTTTGTCCAGTTTCGACGAAGCATGTGCTGGCTGCGCACATCCTTCTGAAGCTTCGGGCACGCAGCTCTCAGCCTTTGTAGGACAGCTTTGATACTTTAATTCATATACCACCTGCCATGATAAGAAAAACTGCTTGAAACATCCAAAATTTGGTCCGATGGACCAATAGTAATTTCACCGAGGAATTTCGTGGATTTGAATCTGCCAGTATTGTATCACCGAGACTGAGCAGCACGTTAAAATGAAGGCCTCATTAAGTCATTTACAATAAAATGCAATGGGTTCGCACAGAGCCTGGATTAGATTGGGCTCGATTTTTGTCAATGTGGCCCGGTCCCACACAGAAATTTCAATTTCCGGAAGATTTTCCTGACAAGCATACAAACTTAAGAAAGATGTGGTTGAAGTCTGGGAGACTTGGAAGGTATGTTTTAGATCACATTTGATGTGGCATTGCATTTAATAAATTTCTGGCGGCAACGGTGCATGCCATGAGATACAAACTTGTACTTTGCAGGCAGTGTGCAATACCCTATAGTGCATATTTATGCCACATATTAACAAGATTTCACTTGCCAAAGCAGGCAGCGTCTGCAGGAAAATATTTAGCGAGGTAGCGCAAGATTTAGGCAGCTAACACGATGTACTCATTTGCATTCTAAAGCACACCTGTACGGAATAAGCCACAGGTGGCTCCCTTGAAGACCACAGCAGTGGCCGCCGTCACGGTGGAGCTCCATCTGTTCCAGTCCAAGCAAAGCAGCACTCACAAAAGACCACACAACAGTGCCACAGCCACTGTGATCAGCACTGCACTGGAGAGCACCGCAGATGCCCCTGCTATGCGGCACTTGAGCGTGTCGTACTTGCTGGGGTTGTCCTCGATGACCTTCTCAAACTCGGCCTCAACTATTTGGCCATCAAAATAAGTGATGGGGTCGTTGTAAGGGTACTCGAAACCCTGAAGGCACTCGCACTTGTAGCCGCCCGAGTCAAAGCCCCGGCCCAAGATTGGCACGCACTGCGCACAGGTAGAAAGCATGGTTGTATCGTGGAGACCACTTATAACAAAACTGCTCATGGGAAACTAGCACTAGTTAGATGGTGCGCCAAAAAAGGGTCCCTAGCAGGGAGCTATGAAAGTACTCAGCTGCTCGCATGTGCGTAGAGCTGTGCGCTGTCGCGCCGTCATCGAAGTTCCAAGAAAGACCATGCCGCCACCGTATAATATTTTCTGGCGCACCGCAGTTTGTTTTATTTTTACCCGAGCGGGGAATCCGGGCATAAAATACATCACTTCACCTGCTTTTCTGCAGCTTTAAGATTTATGAGAGCAGCATTTGCACTGTCATGACTGCTTTTTTGTTTCCGTGCTTGAATGCGCTCTCTTTGTAGGGCCCTGACCAGCTTCCGAAGATACACAATCAAGCCTGTTATTCTCTCTAGGCGTTCCTTTTAGCGCCCCTTGCGATACAAGAACAGTGATTCACGTGACATAATTAAGGCACATACTCTACAATGCTCCATGTAGGAGAAATATGAGTTGTAAATAGCTTTCTACCCTGCTTTGCCATGCAATCACCACTCAATACTCCCAGTTCTTCCTCGCGTCTCACAGGATTATCATGTGCGACAAACTTGTGATTTCGCTGCATTTTGCAAGTTTTTGATTGCGCAAATGGAAATAAGAAGAGTTGCTTGAACTTACGCACGACATTTTTGCTTCCCATAATGACCAAAGACAGATTTATACCATATTTATTGACTATTTTAAGGATTTTTCACATGGTTTGCCATGCCAAACTTCTTTCTGCCTTCTTCACAATTTTGGTGACAACAAGCTGATTCGATAGCAAGTTGCTTGCGATCACGCTCAAAATTTGTTACGTTTAAGCATGCAAAGTCATCTGACGTACATGAACATCAGGAATAGGCCACAGGGCTTGGTGCTTCATCCTGTTTCGTTTATTATTTATACAAATGACGTAGCTGAGATTATCAGTAACACCCAAATTAAACTTGAAATGCAGATGACTGCATTATCTGTAAAATCACCTCTAATATTCATGTTTAAGATGCACTGATTACTGTTGTTTTTTCATCATTTTTAAGAGGAGTGAAACATGGCATTTGTCTAGTAACTGCAAAAATACTGTAGTCGCCACCTTTTCAAATAAAAAATGGCCTCTTCATTTTACATATACTAATGACGGTGTAAGTCTAGTGCGTGTCACGGAGTTTGAATAGATTGTAGTACTCTCCAAACAAGTTTAATATTGCACCGTATTTTGCAACAGTACATCTTCCAACTCGCGATTATGCTTCAGCATGATATAACTATGTGAGAGACTGTTGAAAAAACAATAAAGTTTATATTTTGTCGCTATGACCAGCATTTCTTATATACACTTTGAATGTGCATGTTTTATCGCAGCAGCCCCTCTCGAACATAGGCGCATTTGCAATTGTGTAATCTTCGTGTGTAAATAAGATGGTTACACTGGTACCAGTGCCGTTGCACCCATACCCTTGGTTTATTTTCTGTACACCGTACCCGGTAATTTGATTATACCAACATTGTGCCCGCTAGATTCATTGAAAATTGTTTTCCTTTTCTTTTGTTTGTTGTTTGATTTTCTGCGGAATGTGCATGAAAAAATCAGCTTGATGGGTACTTGAGCAGACTCAGTTCTGAGCAATTGGAAAAAAAGAAGACTTGCGTGAGCATGCATTTTCTTAAATTGTACTTGTGAAGGTGCTGAATACTTATATTTACTTAGCTGCTTTGTCTTGTAAACTGGAATAGCAGTAATTGTAAATAATTAACACTAAGACATGCCGCTGTATATTCAACTGCTTGGCCCTTTCAGGCAAACAGATTGTTTTTTTTTTTTTCAAAGTCCAAGGAACAAGTTGCTACCCTTACCAACTCTTGAATCATAATCCCGACCCCCCCCCCCCCCCCCCCCTTCCTACCCACTCCGCATTGTCGCTGATCGGATGGACCCGCGCTGTTGACACGCCGCTGCCGATGATGGAAACACCAGTGCGCCGCCGCCGGCAAATTTGGTACCGGCGCACAGGTCTACATGTGCCCCGTTGCCATGCTTGATCTTGGCACAAACAGCTCAAGCGGCCCTTCCGCCCGTAATACTGCAGCGTGGTTCACACTTGATATTCCTTTATCTTAAGGCTACTTTCACAGGAAACAGAGAGAAGCTCTGCAGGGCGAATCACATCAGAAGGAGTGGCTGGAATATGCACCCACTGGTTCCCTATAGAGTAGAACCAGTTACGATACGGACAAGTTACAATGCGGACTTTTTTGGCTCCCGTTTGCCCTCTCATAAAACCCTATGTATACATATACCACTTACTGTGCAGTCCCCTAAGATGAAAAACCAGTTATAATGCAGTTGCCGGAAAATATTCCTGACAAACACAGTAGCGAGTGTGCTTCTGAAAAGAGGTGTGCTAGGTGAGCCGCTGGAGAGCGAGCGACGATGTCTTGAAAAAAATTCTCGCAACAACATGCCGAACGGCGGTCATTTTCTGCTGTGTATGCCATCGAAAAAAAATTTTCTGGGAGAGGTGGGGGGAGGGGAGGTGCACCACCCTCCCCTCTATGGCTGCACCCCTGGGCAAGAGTAACACTCTCAACAGTGGCTTGTGATTCAATGACGATGTATTGAAATCAGGTGTGCACCCATAATACCAGACGATGTCTTTCAATGCACTGAATTTCGGATGTGATTCGACATAGTTTATGTGAAATGTGCAATATCAATGCAGTCTGAGAAGTACTCAGGAAATTTCCGTGATGTTGCTTTTTTTGTTGGACCCCCTCCACTTTTGCATTCCTTTCAGTGGCAACGCAGGTCTTTGGACATTAACATAAAGAAATCTAAACAGTTATAAGCACTACACATTACATGCTTAGATTCTCAGACACATGAGGCTGCTGGCTCAACAAGTTTTGCGCAATGCAGCTCCTGAAGAAGAGTGTTTTGATTATAGTTTGAATTTTCAAGACCCCCGCAACTTTAATTATAAGCGATCCATACTGCTTATCTCTTTCATGATCTTCACTGCAGAGACAGCTTATGCTTTTTATAAGTGCTAAACAGATGGCAAACTCACCCTAGAGGAATGGCGGTCACACTTGTGGGTGTCCTGAAAGATGTTCTCCTCAGTGTACGGGTCATAGTCAGGGCACTGGTTGATGTCAAGCTCCGACAGCATCATGGTCACAGCGACCACACCCCTGCATTGACCAGGGCATTTCACTGAACTGACTCGACACCCGACCTGTTAAAGACTATTTCACACAGCAGACGAAGCACGAGAGACATCAAAGAACACAACGTGATTATGGTGTGTGGGGCGCACCCTCTGGCATGTTGGCTTATGCTTGAGCACAGCACAAATACATTCTGAAGCCGTCTTGCTCCCTTCCCTGTGTGCGATCACTTAACAATGTTTACTCTCTCTGAAAGGCACCCATAGGCTCTTATTGTCTGAAATAAACGAAGCTGTCTTTGTGCCAAGCCCAACTTTATCCAAGTTTTCCAGAAAAAATACCATCAGTACAAAACGTGGCACAGTATAACCTCATTATCACAGACGCCCATAGTGGAGAGGATTTTGGTCTGTTGCGAAAGGAGTATGCGAAATCCAAGTCAGACATTTATCTAAACACGGAATGAGTCTGCTATAAATAGGAAGAATCACCAGTAATGAACGAATTTATTCTCAACGGGGGCATAAAACAATTATTTTTGAAAAGATACCATTTTCAGTTTCTGTAGCCCTCCCTTTTTTTACTAACTCAATATTACCAACTCATTTTTATGCCGATATGCGCAATGGACATCTAAATATCTCTTTAAAATATACAAGTTATCTCTACACACTTCGGAATTACCAGACGACTGGCACAACGCTACAGTAGTCCCTATACACAAGTCAGGCTCAAAGCTAGAAATAAGCAACTACCGCCCAGTGTCGGTTACGAGCTCATGCTGCACAATATTCGAACATATAATTTTCAAGGCCATAATAACTCCCCAAGAAACAAATGAGCTCCTTTACAAACATCAACATGGTTTCAGGTCAGGTCTCTCAACTACAACCCAATCAGCTGAATTAACATAGCCAATGCAATTAACGAGAACAGGCAATTAGATGCCATTTTTTTAGACTTTTCTAAAGCATTCAATGTTGTTTCACACAAGGATTCAATAACAAAAGTATCGGCCTTTGGTATTGATGATTAAATAGTAGCGTAGATTAACAGTTTTTTAACCAAACGAAAACAGAGAGTAACGATTGACAACCATCTATCGCAACTGCTTGATGTTTACTCTGGAGTACCTCAGGGATTGGTACTTGCCCCACTTTTGTTTTTAATGTTTATTAACGACATTCAATTTTCTGTTAATAATCCTGTTCAGATGCGACTATTCACAGATGACTATGTCATGTACACAGTCGTACACAATTCAAATGATCAAGTTAACCTGAACAATTCATTGCAAATGATTTATTCCAGCTGCGATACTTGGAGCATGAAATTAAACACAACCAAAACTCACTTCATTTCATTCACAAATAAGACCAACCTCCTCAATTTTACATATACTATAGGAAACACAACTATCGACAGAAGCGACCAAGTAAAATACTTAGGCGTTACTTTCTCATCGAACCTCAACTGGGAACCACATGCTTTAGCCACATGTCGTAAAGCGGAGAGAAAGCTATCCTTTCTAAGGAATTGCGCTCTGCACCATCACACCTTAAACTTAATGCATACAAAACACTAATTATACCATGTTTAGAGTATGTCAATCTCATCTGGAGTCCACATCAAAAGCACCTCATTAATAAAATAGAAAGAATACAAAAATTGGCAGTTATATTTGTATATTCAGACTTCTCGAGGCAATCAAGTTCTGCAGGCTTGCTCGCAAGAGTAAACTTGAAACCTCTTTCGCAACGCAGAATTATCTCGCGACTAAGATTTCTTTACGAATGATATCATGGTCAATTCCGCGTATCACGATCTCATTACCTGCCAGACCCGCCCAAACACTCATCGCGACTGAACCATTCCAAAACTATCCACCAACCTTTCAGTCGTGTTAACGCTCACAAACATTCCCTTTTTCCGTCAGCTATCCACCATTGGAATAGACTAGACAACAATATTGTGTGCTATAACACTATTCAATCATTTATGAACATAATACAGTGTGTCCATTTTGAATTATGACCTGTTTGACATTATATCTTCTTTCTAGTTCTTCCGGTATGTATTTTCTTTCAATGCTTAGTATGTATCTTCTTGTCTCCACTCCTGCATGGGCCGTGAAAAGCCTGCAGTATGTTCAAATAAATAAAAAAAACATAACATAACTTTATTTTCCTTACAGACCACCTCGAGGGGGTATTACATAAGGGGTGGGTTAACATATAATTTTTTATTACCAGAAGTTTTTATCTCGAAAAGTGGACACACAATCGATCAAAAAATGATGATGAGCATTCAGTGGTGACGACATCATGGGGAAGGTCATTCCAGTCTTTTGCTGTCCGAACAAAGAAGGACATGGAAAAGGTGGTCGTCTTAATCCGCAGCCGGGCAACTTGAAGTGAATGACACGTGCGGTGAGATATGCGGGCCGGTGGGGCGATGCAGAGATGACAAAGCGTGCTGTGAAAAAACTTATGAAAAAGGCTGAGACTAGAGATGCGGCGGCGAATGTCAAGGCTTAAAATAGCAGATTCTTTTTTGTGCGATGTTACACTTGTATTGTATGAGTACGAAGAATGAATGAACCTGATGGCACGGTTTTGAACTGCCTCGAGTGAGTCGATCAGATAAGCTTGGTAAGTTGGCTTCAGACTGCGGATGCGTATTCCAATTTGGATCGGATAAGGGACTTGCAGGCCTGTAGCTTAACATTTTTAGGTGCGTGCCGGAGGTGACGTTTCAGGAAACCCAGAGATTTGTTTGCTGATAATGTAATGTTAGTAATATGTTAGCACCAGTTTAGATCATCACATATCATGACACTGAGATACTTGTATGACTGCATGTGTTCGAGGGTAACACTAGCAATAACATAAGGGAAATGAAACGTAACTCACAAGAGTGGAAACTTGGGCTAGTTGGTGCGTAGTCATATTTGCAAGATGTTTCAGCGCGCGAACAAAGGAAAAAGGACAGGGTAGACAGAAAGAGCGCTGACTTCCAACTAACTTTATTTCACAGAGTGGCAAGAATATATACTGCTAAAAAAGGATGATAACAGAGCATGAAGGTAAAATGCACCCTAATCTACACATCAGTAACAAAACACGTGTGACAGGTCCTCTATTGCCTCAAAGCCGAGCTAGGTAATCACGTTCAGCCTGTGATAAAGAAATCGATGATGTGCTTACACATTTATCTCCTAGCAAGTGTATTTTTTCGGCTTCAATAATTTCTCGGGTAAGCTGATCCCTGTGCCTTGCCAATATGGAGCACTGATCAAAGAGAGGGGTGCACCCACAATCTCGGCAATGAATGCCAAGATGCCCTTGTACCACATTGTGCACATTGTTTCGGTGTTCTCGGAGGCGGTCATTTATGCACCTGCCGGTTTGCCCGACATAGATGCACCCACACGTCAGTGGAATCAAGTAAACGACTCCCACTGCGCATGGGACGTAGCGTGTCCTGTGCGCGACAGAGCACGAGGCAGAATTTGCACGAGGTGCATTGACCCGTTTGCAAAGCCTCTGCAATTTTTCCGGGGCAGAAAAAACCACAAAAACGTTGGCGTCTCGAGCAATCTTTTTTAGCCTGTGTGATACGTCGTGCACGTAAGGCAGTACGACAGGCCGGCTCTTTTTGCCACTGTTTCGCTTATCCGGTTTGTCGCCTCGCTTCAAGACAGTGACCAGCTTTTCCGCCACCGAAACGAGAACATGCGCAGGGTAACCAGCTTTGGTAAGCCGCTCTACTTGTAGAGCAAAGCTGTGGTGTACCATGTGGGGGCATGACTTCTTTAAGGCATTGACAAGGCAGAGGTTAGCGATGCCCCGCTTGACCAATTTAGAGTGAGCTGAGCTGAAAGGCAGAAGAGGCTTGCCGCTCCTTGGCTCATACATCCAGCAAACATGTCGGGAGTCTAATAAAAGCTTCAAATCTAGAAACTTCAGGTTGTTATCAGTGGGTGATTCATGGGTTAGAACTAGTGGTTTCAGGCACTCTCGGAAAACAGTCAACGCGTCAGAGGAAACGGTCTGAAAGTTTTGACTATCGCATTTCAACAACACTAAGTAATCATCAACAAAACGGCAAACTTTAAAAACTACAGAGTCGTCAAGCTTGTTTGACAAAACACGATCATGATGTGCTAGAAATATGTCACTAAGAATGGGTGCCAAACATGAACCAATACATATTCCACTTTTTTGTAAGTAGTTTTTGTCCTCCCATGATACAAAGGTGGCCTTCAAATAAAAACCGAGTAATTCTAATAAGCTGCTGTTGTGAATTCCAGTACGCGTTTGAAACGCTGATGATCCTAACCTGTCTATGGATTCCTCTACACATTTAAGTAGTTGGTCATGCGGCAAAGAGTAATACAAGTCCTTAATATCCACAGACATTGCCTGGAGTCCTGTGTTAGTTCGTCCAATAATGTTAATAACAGCGTCAGAGTTCTTGACCAAAAAAGGATCGTCTATTGTTATGTGTTTTAGCTTTTCCTGCAAGAAAAGTGCTACAGACTTTTGCCAGGTCCCCCTTTCTGTTACAATGACCCGCAATGAGCAGTCAATTTTGTGAGTTTTCGCAGAAAAGAACAGGTCAAGGCTAAGCTTTTTGCAACTATCTATCGCCTTCGAAAGCTTCTGAAACCCCAGGGCCCCGGTAAGAGTTTTTGCACGCTTCTTAAGCTTATCCAGACCAATCTCATCATTCTCGTTGAAAAGAGACTGCATTGCATGCATAGCTTTCACTTTAAACATTGAACGAGGAAGAACCGCAAAACCACCCTCCTTGTCAGCCGGCAGAAGTGACAAGGAATGTGCCTTGAGGTACGCGACAGTGCTTCCTGTATTGACAAATTTGTTCGAAGGCTTACATCTCAAGAGCACCTGCACGCCTTGGGCAACACATCTATCACATTCAGAGTCAGGAGCACGACGGGCGACTTGCCTGACAAGAGTGAGGAGCTCGTGCGGTGTTCTTGAAGGTGCCACCGCGTACTT